CTGGCTGGCTGGCTGGCTGGCTGACTGACTGACTGGCTGGCTGGCTGACTGGCTGACTGACTGACTGATTGACTTGCACACTGACTGACTGACTGACTGACTGACTGACTGATTGATTGACTTGCTGACTGACTGCAGACTGACTGACTGGCAAATGAGTCCACTCATAAATCATTTGGCACTACTGTATTCGAATCTGGCTGGCTGGCTGACTGACTGACTGACTAACTGGCTGACTGGCTGACTGGCTGACTGACTGACTGACTGACTGGCTGACTGACTGGCTGACTGACTGGCTGACTGGCTGACTGATTGCCTGACTAGAGACTGACTGACTGACTCGAGACTGACTGACTGACTTGAGAATGACTGACTGACAGACTGACGGACGGACGGACGGACAGACTGACCGAGTGACGGATTGATCATTTATGGATAATCGTGAATCACGCTGATCATCCAGATTTCCAAGACTTCGCTTCTCGTAACCTTCTTTTCCTTTCCATTTAACCATCTTTGGTAAACGCTAAAACTGACCATTCACCTGACTAGATTCTGGCCTGCCCATATCTCATATGATGGTACTGGCGGATGATGCCCGACCTTTGGAGATTCAGACCCGTCAAGCAACGGGAGAAGCGAAGTAAGTTGATAAAGTTAAACCGATACTCTAAGTTCTGGTCCGCCATTTTGGATTAAAACATCCTAAAGGCCCTGGGAACTTAGCTGGCAACCTGGCCTGCAATAATTGACAAACATTTATTAAACACTACAAAAATTGGGGAGAATTACTTTTCATTTGGCCGCTCGCTCAACACAACAGACACTTTAGAGACCAGCTCTCTCATCAATTTGTACCGCACATTGAAAAGTATAACAATGCATGCCTTATCAAACAAAAAAAATCTGAGATCGTTTTAGTGCGTGGTCAATGTTACACTTAAGAATACTTAGGGATCCATATATAGCCGTATATAGATCTTGTCTGTCGCGGTGGTTTAGACCAGACACCATCTTTGATTTCAAAAATCGGAAAGATCGTTGCAGTGAAGTTCGTAAAAAAAAGAAACAGACCAGTTTCAAACCCCCAAATTTAAAACGTCAACTACATTGCGTGCCAGTAAAGCGTGGTATTGAAGTTAAAACATGGGGTCGTGCGGACTTGCACGATCGAATCACGCAAGACTAATCACCTGTGACTTCCTTTGAACGCAGTCACGCAACATAACCGCTTGGCTGATTTTCTTATTCATACAAAATGAGGGTTTTTTTGCCAACTTGTTTAAGAATGCGGCAATTAACTGCATCTGATTTATTTCAGTCGTGCCAATTACGTTCGTGACCACGTTTATATTGCCGCAGTTGTTGTTTCTTTTACAACTGGATTAAAAGCACGCAATGGAACGTGGATAAGATGCAGCCAAGAGACTATGATGCGGCGGTTCAGTGATATGCGTCATATACACCGACTGGGCATAGAATAATACCGGTATTCTTTTCGTGTTGTGTAAAAATAAGGGCAAGCCACGGGAAATTTACTAACGTTACGTGAGCCGCATTAATAAATGTTCTTGTGAACAAGTGAAGTGAAGGGAAGAGTTCGTCGAGAGTCATTAAAAGAAAATTTACATTATTTTAGGTTCCATCTAAAGATGAGGAGTGGTGGACTGCTACGTGTCCAAGCAGGAATTCTGAGTCCTGGGGTAAGTTTGTGTTAAACATATGAAGTCTCTTCCGAAGGGCGACGCTAATGATTCCCGGGTAATGATCCCAGAAAGGCTCCCGTTCGATAAGAGAGTTGCGCATGAAGTCCCCAGTGTTTAACTCCGAGGCCGAGGGTCTCTTTTGTAGGGGACGTTTATGATCCCACATCACTGTTCAATAAAAGTAGGGCTACAAGTCCCCAGTGTTTTGTTCTCGGTATGAAGTCCTACTTTGAAGAGGAATTTAATGATGCCACACGCCATGTTACTGTTAAATGAGAGTAGGGCGAAGTCTACAGTGTTTGTGGGCCTGACTTTGAACGGTCTTGGGCATAAGCGGTGGGAGTAGTCATTTACAAGAGGACTCCTGCAATTGCTAGGGATAACCTCTGGATTCTCATCCAGATTTTTATTATATAAAGTGCTGTGAGATCCTTACCGAATGCCCGATTTCCATTCACAACTTAAGCTCAAGAAAATGACTTGAAGTCAATGATTAGATTGTCGTTCACTCCACTCGCCTAATGACTTTAACAATGTATTGATATCATTAGGGGACTAGATTCCAGATTAGATATATAACTCATGTTAGTTTAAACTTGGCCAAACATGGATTCTTGTGTCCAATGTTCTTACTTCTTTTGTCTATCTCTTAGGCCACCTACAAGTGTGTGCAGATATCTCGTCAAACCAGAGCTGATGAAGTAGTAAAGATGATTTTGTCCAGTTATGGCAGTGATGAGCCGCCTGAGAAATTTGTCCTGGTAGAAAGCCTGTCAGATTCCGAAGGTAAAAGAATGTTCGAGCAAAATAGCTATGTTTTCCCCCTCGCTTTGCTTTGGAGTTTCCTAGCTCTCTCATTGGTTAGAATTTGTTACACAACATCTTCTAACCAATCAAAGTAAACATGATGTTGTTTTATAAACCAATCAGAAACGATTAACGATTACCTTATTAAACAATCACGATTCTCAATTGCCTGGTCGCGCCCTTTCCCCCGCTTGTAGCCGGCGGCATGTTTTCCCGCGCTTTTTCCTTGGCACCAGTACTTGTAACGTTGGCCACAAAATAAGGAGTCTCTCGCACTTACAATTACAATTGTCAGTAAACCGTTTTGGTACTGAATTAAAGCCGGTTTGGTTAATCGGTAGTTACACCCTTTAGTTTTCAGATTTCTTTACCATGTCTTTGCATGGTCGCCGGGAGTATATTAGTTAGTGAGGTCTGATTATGTGTATTCTTCTGTAGTTGGTCGTATTCTGGAAGCGGACGAGTGTCCTCTTGAAGTGCAGTCTCGATGGAAGACTGGAGATCAGGGAACGTTTACTTTGACGCAAGCAGAGTTCGAGGTAAAAATCGTTATTAATAAGCTTGATAAGGTTAACAATAAGTTTAAGGGAACTCAGTCACGGTATTTTGAGTTATTTTGGCCACGCACGTAATTTTCAAGGCGAGGGTTTAATTATCAGTGGCATGACGGGAATATCACTACTCCCTTACTCCCTCCCTCCTCTCTCCCTCCCGCTCTTCCGCCCCTCCACCCTTCCGCCCTTCCGCCCTCCCGCACTCCCCTAGTGTCTTGATCAAGAACATAAAATAACTCCGCCCACGGCTGCAGTGCTTTAACCATTGGTCCACTTCCTCTAGACCAAAGGCTAATTCTCTCATTTATGATTTCAGGGTGTTCTCCAGAGTGACGAGAAGACTCGACCAAACAGACAAGAATCTCTGAGTGATAACGAAAAGCACAACTACAATGATGATCAGCAAACAAGTCCATCCACCTCAGAGACGGAAGACAAAGAAACTTTAGAGCAAGTTCGCAAGCGACGAACTTCAATTGATGCATTAGACCTACACATAGACTTAACCACTGTGAGCTCGAATCAAGTCAAACGAAAAGTGTCACAGATTGACAATTTAAGACATAAGTTCCATCAGTACCACAGGAAACCCAGCGCCGCGGTTTCGAGCGATGGCGGAGATGTTGAAGGACCGAAGAAGCGTAAAGTTTCGCAGATCGATGTATTTAGAAGTAAATTTCTTGCTTATTACGGCGGGAAAACGGAAGGACCTGGTGCTCTTGATTCGTTAAGTGAAAATGTGACAACTAACGAAAGTGATAGCAAAAATAACAGGACAAAGAAATCGCCGCCGTTGCGAACCCCTTCATTTGAACATTCTGACAGCGAGGAGCTTCCTCGCTTCTCGTCTTCTCCGCCTACTTTTCTGCGCGATAATAACAACAACAAGGGCAAATCTTCACAACAAAGCATAAAAAATCAACACAAAGGAAGTGATTTAGTTCCAAAGCCATCCCAAACATCTCGCCTTAGTTTAGCTAGTGTTCTTCAACATTCCAAGCTTTTCACAGTGACTCTGAACAGGAAGCCGGGAGAAGGTTGGGGTATAGAGCTCGTTCATGTAACCAAAACAGGCTCCTCGATGAGCCAGGACGAAAGTAGCGCGAGCGAAGATGAAAAAGTAGTTTACGTCCAACACAATGGGAATGGACAGAACTCGATTATGGACACATCTTGCGCCAGAGATATCAGCAGCGAGTTGATGACGCCGTCTGGGACAAGCACGCCGCATTCTGGCAGTTCCACGGGCTCAAGCGAACACGAGATAACGGCCATTCTCGGAACAAATACTCACTCAAGCGCTGACAACGATAAACCCAATGATGACATGCGACATATCGTACACAAAAAGAATCTTCGGAGGAAAATGGGATCTATTACGAATATTCACTTGGCCCCTGAAGGAATTCCCATTTCAACCGAAAGATCTGGTTCAGCGACGAATTTAAGACCAATTAACCCCTTGCCGCAGAGGCCCTCTTCTGCGCTTGCGCAATGGAGAAAGGAGGGAAGTCCTCAGCACCGGCCTGGGGTGCGTATAGTTGCACTGACTGAGGGAGGATTGGCGGAAAGTAGCAAAGAACTTGCTGTGGATGACTTGATTGTCGAGGTAAGGAAAATAAAACCGTGTAATTCCGAAAGCCACGATGTTCAATCCAACCTCGTGCCCAGAGTCTTCGTTCCCCTTGACCAGCAGTCTGGAAACGAAAGACCCTGGAAAGTTCTGAAGTCGGAAAAGATCGGACATCCGGTTCAATTGCGCATGCCTAACTGACGAACACGTGGCTCAATCGGGTCGCTGATGTTTTACTTCCGCTCTTTTCCATTGTTTTTTAAAACCAATCAAGATTGAGCCTGTAACGGAACTCTCGAGAGTCGCTCGTTTCGTTAAGCTTGCACAGTGAGGAACGTATTAGACTCCAGGGACCAGACATTTCCGTCCCCAGTGCTACTCGTTTTAAAATGTCGTCACGAAAATGGGGACGAGATTACCTCCGATCTCAATCGACAATGGGGAAGTAGGGAATGACCGTGTATCAGCACCAACTTAACAGCTAACTAAATTGATGTTATTTCTTCACAGATTAATGGACAGTTCGTGCTAAACTCTCCTCTCGAACCTGTCATCGCTGCGATGAAAGAAGCTGACACAGTGACTGTTGTGGTGGCTAGAACCCAGTCTCCTGAGCCAAAACCAGAAGTAAGTACATAGCATATCGCTAAGTGAGTGCTTTCATATTCATTACCTGCGCTTAATTTACTCTACCTGCACTTTAGTTCTAATATTTTTTAGTTAACAGTTTTTGTTCTCGTGTTTTCCTACTTTGCAGGAGAAAGAGAACAAAACAGATTACAAAGATGACATCAAAGCCTTGACGCTACAGATTCAAAATCTCGTGACGAAGGTCAGCGAGATGCAGAGTGACTTGAAAAAGAAAGATGACAAAATAAAAACCCTGAAGAAAATGGTCAAGAAAAGTGGCTTGGACAGCAAGGGGAAAATTTACCAGTCTGTTCAAGTCCTTGTATAACCTTACAATTAAACTTTCACATCAGTACTTCATGTGGCCTTATGCTCCACTCACGAAGGAGCGAGGAGGATGAGTGAGTGATCAATACTTCATATGAAATCTATCCCAGGCTCTTCATTACGGACCTCTGCAAAGTGTGAACACAGTAATTCAGTGATCTGCTATATTTAACAAAGTCCAAGAAAGGACTTAAGTCAATATTAGGATCCCAATATGGATACTTTATACAAAAATTACTATACATTTCAGACAGAAAGAAAAGTTGTACAACGTTTTAAGTGTAACTGAAACCATGTTACAATGAATGTAGTTTTAAAAGATGTAAAATCGCATTATTCGCATATATATAATTGTATAGATTAATTATTTTAAAAAATATAGTGTCAGTAAGATAAATCTAAAACAAAGGAAAATTACCCATATAACATAAAACCGAGAATTTGTAAAATTAGATAAGATTGCCCATAAAGGTATATACGGTTTTTTATTAAAAACTGGATCATTGGATAATGCAGTTCAAGAGTTCTCATTGGCTTAGCTATCATGGTATACATACCTTTTACTTACCAAGTTCGAGGTCCGTACTGTAAGTTACGGCCGAGTTTTTTCTCCTTCGTTTTCCCCTTCTTCTACTGGGTGTCTGACTTTGATTTATGGTCCAAGCGCGAAGCGCGCGGTCCATAAATCGACAGGAAAAAAAACGAGGATCCGTAACTCACAGTACGAACCGAGAAGACGAGGTCAGTAAAATATTTATTATATCTCTACTGTGTGTCTGACGGGTTCGGAAACGATTTCTATTCACGCGGGAAGGCTTCAAAATTTCTGACGCACGTCAAAAACGAGTCAATTTGAAATCGTTAAGTCGTTAGCACGTTTTAATACACAATCGACTAAAAGAAAGCGTTAAACTTTTACTTGTTATAAAAGTTAGGAACACTTGGCGATAAAACACGAAACATTTTGGCTACAAAAACAGCTTTAAATTTTAGCCGGCCGCACAATAGAGCACGGCCCTCTGAATTGACCAATCACAGGGCGCGTTGTAACTGAGAGGTATAATGAATTATTACATCTTTCAGCTATCAATAACATTAGTTTACAAGCAGTCAGTGCTACCGCCCTATCCCAAAACAGTTCTGGTTTTTCTTACTTGAATGAGAAATAATAATCCCTCGCCCATTGTTCGGGTATAAACCAACAAGGGCGAAGACTATATATTGTTTGTAGCCGATACAACGCCTTTGTTCGTAGCCGATACAACGCACGCTCTGATTGGCCAATTCTAGGACATTGTTCTCCCGTAATGCTCACGGGCCGATTACGGGCCTACAAAACAGAAGCAAAAAGCCATATAATAAACAACTTATTAACCTCGAACACTCGGTCTTCACGTGAAAACCTACTTTCCGGGGAAGACCTCACTCTCAGTAAATAAGTAGCTAAATATGTATATTAAAATAGGGGTTATCATTTTTTATTAGAAAACAGCCCTAAGAAAATACGCGCGCTGATTGGTTCAAAATCGTGTTTCTATTAAACAGTTACATTATGAGCTCGAGATTTGTATCGCGCGATTGTTGACGAGGGCGCAGCCCAAGTCAACTATCACACGATAGAAGTCGAGAGCGAATAATCTTGTTTTAGTATAAATCTACTAGTCGTTCAAAACTTTATCTAAATCCTCTTCACAGACACTTCGAAAACGCCAAGCAGCAGCCGTCATTTTGTTAACAAGGGCACACTGCTGCGCTATACTATAGCTACTCATTATCCATCACAGAATAGATAGTGAGTAGCGTAGCCAATCAGAGAAC